CCCGAAATGTTGGAAAAAACAAATATACCTACGCGATTTAGAACCAAAAAATAGTGTCATTTCAAACATATTTATGTAAGTTTTTTTTGTCATTTCTATAGTGGGCACGTTAGAAGCAAAGTGCGTTTAATTCTTCAAACTCCAGATTACATTAAGAAACTCGCGCTGAGACATAAGTTGTCTCAGGTATACTCTGTGGAGAGAACGTTGATGTTCTCGTTCAGTATTAACCGACAGCATACATCGAAACTTATAATGGCCCAAGCCTAGTGGTCCCATGTGCCTGAAATTTAACCAGCTGTAAAGTACAAGATGTAAAATGATAAACCAAAAATACGTTGCCGTAAAAATTTGCCTAACGTCAGTTTGGCGAGCGGGTTACATGTTGGGACATAATTTTCTCAAGATTCCCGTACAGCGAAGATGGTTGATAGGGCCTTAAGGTTTGTCCTAATAAATCATCTGTACTAGCTGTAAAATTTAATTTAACTGAATAGAGTAATTACATATTAGGTTATACAGGAAGGAGATGATTACATCCATTATTACGTATAACTTTTAGTTTGGGAAACTCTTTGATATTGCGAAAATCCAGCTGTTAATGGGTAAGAACATTTATTATGGAACAGCTGATAGTCTGTATAATCTATCTAATCAAGTGGCTTTAAAAAGTTTTCTTGTTTAACCCTCCATTATTTAACGAAGGGATGCCATTTATATAAGGGCGGTGGTAGCTTAGGGGGCGAGTGGTGGCTTCTCAAATGAGACGTATACTGTTCGAACCCTTGGGACTTGACAACTTATGTCTCAAGGTGACGGGCGCGGTGGCAGTGCCCCTCAGATCTTTGCTTTGCTTTCTTTATTAACTAAAATTATAGAATATTTCCAAATTTTCAAATTTGAATGGGTCTAATACTGAGGTAGCGTCTTTCCAACAGAAAATAATCATCAAAATCGCTTCACAAATGCCGTATATAGAGTTATCGCGTAACATACGTTAAAAAAAATACAGTCGAATTTAGAACTTCCGCCTTTTTTGAAGTGGTTAAAAAGATTGTGAGAATGCTTTATAAACGAACGCGCATCAACAAGAAATACTTGTGGTGCTTTCTCTGCAAATTCGCCACGTGACATTTGATATTTTAGTGTAATTTGTGCTTTCGAATGTTTGTATGTAAAAAGTGAATAAACCAGTTAAAACAATCCTCGGATGTTAATATTCAATCGCCAACTGAACGAATTAATAATAAAAGGTGTCCCCGGCAACGAATTTCTGGGGTTTTCCTGCATATATTTTTTACACATAAATATTGCGGTAAAAAAGGATGGATGGATGTTAGTGGAATTACGACATAAATTTATACAGCGAACGTGGAGGGAAACGGGAATAATCGATCTTGGCGTATCTCAACTAGATTGGGGATTACCTTAAAAATGGCCAGGTCAAAAGTACCATGAATAAATGGACGTGAACGAAATTAATGATGCTAGTGGAAGAGAAAGAAATATGTGAGGAGTGTAGCGGTTGGAGGACCGCACCGTACTGGGACATTGACGCTTCCCAGTCTGCACTTAATCATTTGTACCAGTTCTTTTTAGAAATAGAGATCTTAGTGTCAATGCCACTAAGATCTTTGTAAAGTTTTGAGTGGCACTGCAACTGTTGTGGACAGGCGTGTGGGTCTTTTAACATCAGGCGCACGACTTGTTCGTACCGTCACTGGGTGTTAAGAAAAGAAAAAAAGTTCGTACAGCGATACGGGCGCGGCCTCCCCGCGGCGATCTTCACCGGCTAGAGAAGGACCATTCGTCCAGCAAGGAGCCGTCACGTATTTAACCACCTGAACTTAACTGAATTGTTTAATTTTTTAAATACTTTTGTTACTACTATTTTTCTATAGTAATAATACAATTTAACAAAGAAAAGACATTTATTTGCTTAGTAGAAACGACGATATTCTACTGTAATATAGACCAACAACGAATATTTATTCAAAAAGCACTATATCTACTTTTTAACGGTAAGGATAAGATTTTAGGAATAAAACTAAAGACACATGGGACTTATCTACTTTGTAGCTCTTAGATTTTTGCGATTTAAAACCCAGTGAACCTGCAACTATAATTACTAGACGTAAAGCTCATTACCTGGCGTAAAATTATACTTAGTAAGGCTCGTCATTTAGCAACAACTACGTCACGCGTATTCTAATGAAGTTCAATGAACTTCAACTCCAATTAGGCAAGAAGAAAAATCAAAGACATTTCCATTCATAATTAAATTTACAAAGGGGCGTCAAGTTGAAGGTCGAGTTAATAAACCGTGGAGCACAATATTGGTAGGTACTCAAAAAAAATTTAATTAAGATCGAGAATTATTCATGGACAAGACCTTTCCACCTCACCGGCTTCAAAGGTCATAAAATTTTAAACAACACGAGTGATTTGGTTTTTTTTTGTTCAATAATGTTATAATAGAGCTGTGGTAGCCCGTCGTGGCATGATCTTATCTATAGTTTGCCTTTTTTGAAGACGGACTAAAATGTCATTTATTTGTCCTATGGCCGAACGGTTACCATGCAGACTGCCACGCAGAGGTCCCAGGTTCGGTTCCCGGGCCAGGAGAAATATTTTTATGGCCTACATTTTTTTCTCTCGTGAATTTGGGTGTAATTTGTGGTTCGTCCTGTTACTTGGTACCGTAAAAAAATCTTGCTTGCACACTAATTGGATGCAACGTGACAATGGCTTAAGCTTTATTCTTAGAGGGTCCCCGAGCCGAACAGTCGGACGTAGTGAAACCCGTAACTGTAGACGATGATTACAGTTTTACTTCATTTCATATAATCAAATAATATTTTAAAAAATGTATAGTGTTTTAATAAAAATATAAATTAATTATATTAACATAAACTTCAACGCTTTACTAATAATATGCGAATAGTTTAAGTCAAAACTTTGCTTGTCTCGCGGTTATTTTTGAAGTTTGTTAAAGTAATTTTACTCACTAGGCAACATAGTTTCTAATTTAGTTTAAAGTTTCTTAATTTTGTCTAACGTAAGTGTCGTCGTCTTTACCCAGTGTACATTTCGCAACTAAAGCTATTAAGTACGTCACAATTTACTTACTGCGACTGGAAATTGGATATTATTTCTTCCCTTCAAATTATTCCTACCGGGAATCGAACCTGGGTTCTCTTCATCCAGCGCCCATAGCCTTTGTTCGGTATAGGAAAAAATCTGGATTCGACAGATTCGTGATTCGACCCATGCGCTATTCGAGAGACTCATGTATTGGGCAGATTCTTGGATTCAACCTTGGATAAAACCAATGGAAGTGTCTTAAGCCTCGATTACTATCGGAACCGATGTCGCTAAAACGCAGATAAACAAAATAATAAACACTATGAAATCTTAGCAGTGATTGGTCATAGTTTACCTAATCTAAAAAGATGTTACAATTCTGGATTGTTAATATAATTTAAACTTTACCCAGTCGCTATATCGTTGAAAGATCAATACTTCATAGCCAGTTATGATGTTTCGATTTTGATTCGAAATTTCATACAATATGCTGCCATCTTGCGGCCAGTACCTGAACTACGACGAACAATTAACGTCTTAACGAATAAATAATCAGAAAATTGAAATAAAGTCTTATACCGATATACCGATGACTTGAAATACTACTACGGGTAATATGTTTGGGGCAGCTATCCAAAACAGCACAATAAGACATTTTTCTGCGACTTTAGAGAATTTGCACGAAAGAATGACACAACCATACCATGCAAAGCGAAAATGGCGAACTGAGCTCAGGTAGCTCTTTCGAGGCCTGCAGTTTAACGCGCGTTAACTGACCACTTTTACTGCATGTATTTTTTTGTGGATTCGACAGATAAGCTATACGGCAGAAGAACTACCAGTTAATAATAATAATAATAATAACGCATACACTCAAAATAGCCCCGCACTAGGGAAACCCTGTGTCGCGGGTGCTATGAACACACACATAGATAACCACAAATTACACCCAAACTCATGAGAGAAATAAATGTAGGCCATATAAATATTTCTCCCGGCCCGGGAATCGAACCTGGGACCTCTGCGTGGCATGGTAACCGTTCGGCCACAGAGGCAGTCAGTTGTGTGATAAGCGCGTATGCGAACTACATCCGATTCGTATCAGACCCTGTCCTCTCGTTCTCGCTCCGAGATCCGTCCGTAATAATTGCTGTCAAATAAATAATACTCGACCAAATTAATTTCATCGAGTGTTACTTATATAACAGTAATCGTTTCGGGCGGCTGTTGAGCGAGAGTAGACCCCCAGTTCCGAATCCGAGAAATGACGGTCCGAAATATCACAGGTATTATTTTATCTGCACATTTGTGTAGTCTCGGATTCGAAACTAATTCCAACCGGATGCAGTGCACAAACGCGGGAAATGTAAAGAACATAATAAGGGTGCTCGCGTATTGCACAACACTGGTCGTTTCAACGCGCATTTCATTGTTAAGCGAATGTGCGCGTCCGTACTCGGTTGCGCGCATATACAAGCCGCGCTGTTATTGGGTACGGAATTGCCTTACTACTGTAATAAATTAAATATCCATAAGTAGTCATTCAAACGTTATTTATTCACTTTTACTTTTATCTCTAAGATCACAAACATTCTTTGGTCTTTACCATAGAACACTATGTCTTGACTCAATTTGTCGATAAACTGGAACAAAATGCCGCCCGCGCTACTTAATATCTTTTTATATTCTACGTTATAGATGGCTCCTCAATCGCCATGCGCGCGAAATATCTTTCCCGTTTCTCAGCTTCAGCTACAATCTTTTACGACAATTTAAACCAATCATTTCAAGATCAATCAAACACCACAATTACAATTGCGAATTAACATGACAGTAAAATGTTCTCTAATGAAACTTAACAATAAAATGGTACGCAATCGTGTATATGCAATACGCAATGGTGTATATTCGCGGAGGCGCACAAGGATGGGTTTGCAGCCATCATACCCAAGAGGTGCGCCTCGATGCTGCGCCGCCCGCCTGCGCGACAGCTCCAGCCGCATCTTGAGCGCGTTGTCCGCACCCTGGAACTCGCCGATGCTCGCTTATTAGATGCGACTACATGCGGTCGCATACAAAATGAATGTTATTTTGTTTTTGTGTTGCTGTCCTTATGTATTGTGTAAATAACTAACCCTTAGGCCTAAGCATTTTGTAATTTACTAACAATTTATGGACCAATTAAGAAATAAATTATTTTTTTCGCGAACCGAAGTAACTACGGTATTACTTGTGATAACACTTGCCCATTGCGTCCGTTCCGAATCCGAACGGCGGTGGCGGCTGGGAGGAGGGATTAAAGAAACAGCAGGTCTAATCAATCATTCAAAAGTGGACACAACCATTCAGCACTAATTACAAATAAATTTCTTGCTGTCTTGTTAAGTTCATCGTGATTATTATAAAAATGTTCTTCTGAGAAGTCGCTTCACTAGAAGGTATATTCAAAACTTTTTATTTCTCCTACGTCTTTGTATGTACTAACAATGCCAAAAGTCTCCGTCTCAACTGCCTCCATGGCCGAACGGCTACCATGCCCGACTGCCACGCAGAGGTCCCAGGTTCGATTCCCGGGCTGGGAGAAATATTTGTATGGCCTACATTTATTTGTCTAAGGAGTTTGGGTGTAATTTGTACTTGTCTATGTGTGTGTCCATGGCACCCGCGATACAGGGTTTCCCTAGTGCGGGGCTATGTTGAGTGTGTGCGTTATTTATTTATTATTTAAAGTTGAAGACGATTGAAAGAATAAAATAATGTTTAGGTACGGAATATATTTATGGAATCCATTATTGAAGGACATTATCAACTAAAGAACTTTTTATTATAATTCGGTACAAAATCCAAGAGTTATTGATTAATAAAATACAAAATTATTATACATTTTTTAAACAAATTATATTTCTTTAAAACACCTCTAATCTAAAATAATGTCAGGTTAATATTCTTAGATTCCGATAAAGATGCGCGACAACATATTTCCTGTTTCTTGATTTCAGCTACAATCTTTTAAATAATTTTAAACTAACAATTTAAAATCGATAATATAAAAAAATTACAATTGCAAATTAACATGACGGTACATGTTCAGTAATGAAGTTAACAATAAAACAGTACGCAATCGAACATCTTTTTATAAAATCTGATATTGAAGGTAATCAAGAAATAACTTTTTATTATAATTCGATTCGGTATAAAACACAAGCGTTATTGTATTTTAATACTATTTAATATATTATTAAAATATAAAAGGTAATAATACGCACATTTTTACACAAACCATGACACTACTATGTTATCAGCTCTTTTCCCAGTTAGTGCCTACTGGACCTTAGTTATCGGAGTAAGCTACGCCGCCGGAAGTGCGGTGGCAGGAGCGCCGACAGGCGTTCGAGAAGTGGCGCGATAGGCTGGAACACAGCAGTAGATCTTCGTGGAACCTGCCCAACCTCGAAGTCTGGTTGAGCCAGCGGAAGTGCGTCACCACGTTCCGACTGACACAGATACTCACCGGACACGGATGCTTCGGTGAGTGTCTGAATCGGATCGGACGCAAGTTGACGACGCAGTGCCACCACTGTGGGTGTCCCGCGTGAGCCTTCGAGCGGAACATCCTGGCATAATCCCGGCTGTATTGGCGGATCAAGATGTAGGCCTATGAAGAGTCCCATGAGGCAGTGGTCTCCTTTTGTGAAGCGGTGATGCTTCAGAAGGAGGTAGCCGATCCCGCTTGGTGGCGGTGTACCTTCGCGGCTGCGGGCGATCGGAGCGAGAGCTCCATTCGTCATTAAGTTTGGCAGCCGCGAGGAAGACGACGGGGCGGTGTGACTCGCTTCGTCGTGAAGATGGGAGGGGGAGGACGTAGCTCCTCTCAGGTGCTGGGCGGTTTCCGGTGCGCAAAGTCGATCCCGAATCTCTACCACTAGAGCATCCGAGAAGGTAACCTACCGTCACAGGTAGGGTTTTAGCCGGTAGAAGTCTGGCTGCCCCTGCGGCGGAGAGGTATCCTAGGAATTTTCCCACGAAAAAAGGTGATCTCGGTAATAAAATGGATATTTATTTTTCTTCTGCTTGTCCAACCAACTTGAAGCTTGATACACCTAGGTACATAATATGTAAATCCGATGACATTAGATTATTATGGTAACCAAGGTCTGATACTGCGTCCAGACAGTCTGCAGACTACCCAACTCCTTAGCTAATTGCAACAGAACTATCGTGATAGGGTTCATTGGTCTTGACGAGTTGGCTTACAGATGGTTACTTTATTGTCTTTTTGGAGTACATATAATAATTGAAATTAAAAACTTCCTCATTTTAGCAGGGAAGATGGTTTCTCCGTACCACAGTTTGGGATCCAGTATTTCCTTTCATGAAAATCCCAAACAGACATAAGACTGCAGTACTGATTAATGCGTTTTAATTTATTCTAATTTCCATTAATGATTAAAAAATAATTTTTTCTTGATAAAAATTTACATTGTTAAACTAAAATAATTTGTAAAATGGATGTAGCGTAAATTATAAGTTCTTTGTAAAATTAAAAATAAGGTATTTAATTAATAACTTTTGTAACTGTAGTGAAAAAATAGGGTGGTTTGCCTTAAGATTAGACATAACTGGTGGATGACTTTACTATCTCAGTCAACCATGACTATGGGACCTGTAAAGGGCCCGAACGGTAGTTTATTTGAAAACAACAAAAATACGCGATTCGGAAAAATAGTTTAATTTCCTTGTTATGAAAATAGCTTAATAGTTTAATTAGTTAAATTGAGTCTTTGAATGATACCTAATGCGTACAAAAACTTGGCTACCGATAAAAAAGTCACCGTGTATTTGGAAAAAACACATTTCCAAATTGACTCTCGTGAGTGTGCAAGCCATTGACCCGCCGAGGTCGAAAAAATATATTTTTGTATATTGCAAACTTATTTTACGTAAATAACCTTACTCGAGATGGACCCGTTGCTAAAATCCTGATAAATTCAGTTACAACATAGTTTCTTACAATATGATTTATCTTAGAACTTCCACAAAGCTGCGGGACGAAGGCAAAAGCTTTTATTGTAAGAAGCTTTCGTGCTAACTTATCACTGTGTCCTAAAGCGGATTGACTATTTCGATATTTTAACTAACAGCTTAACAACTTACGTGACTATGGACCACAGATGCTATGGACAGTGCAAAAAGAGCGGTAGTTGGTACGCGAAGCAACATACAAATCAATATTAATTTTGTTGCTGTTTCTTAAATACTTTCCTTTACACAATGGTTGTAGCTTTAAACTTAGCTGGAAATAAGTTATTTATATTACAAAAAATTAACATGATCGTGTAATAAGTTAAAGTTACGATAGTTTTAATACTAGTTTTAGTAGAAGTAATATTCAAATTAAGAGCAAAATGTAACTGCCTATATATAGAAGAGCGGTGTGTTCCCTTTCCTCACCATATCGATACCAGAACTATCAATTGTCTGCTCCAATTTTGATTGTGTCTAGAGGAAAGTTTCTTAGAATTTCTTCTTTCATGCTATAAACGATAGATTTAGGAATGACCAGTGGTTTGAAATATACCATGTCCCTTACATTAAAAAAAGATGTTTAGTTGTGCCTTACATTACTAATATTTTATAGAAAATTATACGTAATTCTATTGCAAAAGATCCTCTAGACTATGTTCGACGGTTTACACATAAAATATTAGTAAAATAAGGCACAACTAAACATCTTTTTTAAATGTTTTTAAACTAATGGCCATGCTGTATTTTAAACCACTGGGCATCCCTAAATTTTAATAATACCAATCGATAAAGCGGAAACTTCCTAATCCAATGATATATGTAACTTATTTTCGACAAAATGTCTTAAAGTTAATTAATAATTCTGGTATCGATATCGGGGATGCTTTCGTATTCTTCCGCGACTCCGACACGGTGAGCGGGTCGACAATGCGTCAAACCGCAACTCGCTTTCCGGGAGATGTTACCTCCCCGTCAGCCGTCATGAGAGGCGGACGTGGATTGTTGAAATACGAACGCCGCCATCTCTGGGCCACCAGTAACGAGCGACAGTTTCCCCTAAACTGCCGCTCATGGGCCCAAGAGTGGTGTCAAGCTTAAAAGGAAGGAACATCAGCCCCTGAGTTGAGCTTTAGTATAAATAACAAATAAAACTTTTCAATTTTTTTATTATTATTACATATATCGATACAAAACCCCACTTTCTTTGTTGTAATGGACATAATTCAATTTTGACAGCATTGTAAGTTACATTCAATAGCATTGTAAGGGATGGATATCGCCTTAGTGTAATAAGGCCATATATGCAAAATGAAACCATTTCAGGAGGGAGGCTTAAGGATTCTAGGAACGAAATTAGTCGGTGACTTTAGGGGTTGTTCTCGTCAAGTAAGAGAGTTATAAAGTTTTACAATTATATTTGAGTCATGTAATGCGTATCATTTTTTAACTGACTTTAAAAAAGAGGAGGTTCTCAATTCAACTGTATTTTTTTTGTATGTATGTTACGCGATTACTTTGTGAACCGATTTTTGGTGATTATTTTTTGTTGGAAAGAACCCTCTTTCCTTATTATTAGTATAATATAAATTTAAAGAAAATATTCTACCTCCAAAGGTGGGAAACTAGGGGATGAATCCGGTTTCGCGCACTTTCCGTTAACCGATTTCAATAAAACTTGGCAAATTGATGTAATTCCACAAACTGTTAAGGGCGTTTTTTTTTTATAAAAAGTTATATCACTTTCATGCGATAAAAATACTTTTGACGTATGATCACATGTCGCTTGTCTCTACTTGATATATTATGTTATTAAGAAATAAATATTAGACATCATCACATACGTTGCGCTGATCCAAAGTAAGTAAGACACTTGTGTTATGGAAATTGGAAACCACAAATACTCAGACTCGAGCTCCCGGCCGGGTATCGAACCCGAGATGATGGCGACACCATGAAAACCGGTGTGTAAACCACTCTACCACG